TACTACTACTACTACTACTACTACTACTACTACTACTACTACTACTATACGACGACGACGACAACGACGACGACTAGGACTAGGACTAGGACTAGGACTAGGACTAGGACCACGACTACTACAACTAGGACTACGACCAATACTACGACTATACGACTAGGACTCGCGACTACTATGACTGTACGGCCACGGCCGCCAACACCACCACCACCACCACCACCACACCTGCCTTTGCCACTTGGACGGCTACTCCTAGCAGCTAGCAGAGTGGACCGCGTGAATTGTACCTCAGGTCTTGTTGATCTTGTTGACCTTCCATGGAGGGGTGTGGTAGTCCGGTCTTCACATTACCCCGCAGCAGGTTCCCAAGCGCACACGGCCACACATTGCAGCAGCAGCACCAGCACCCAGGCTTCAAAGCGCACGCGGACACATCTGGCAGCGACCATCGACCAGTAACCAGCACCAGCACCAGCACCCAGCACCAGCACCGGCACACCCAGCTCACAGCACCAGCACTAGCACCCAGCACCGGCACCCAGCCTGTCCCCACGCGCACAGCTGGGACCATCTCGAAAGCACGCAGCCAGCTCACACCACCGGCACCCAGCACCCAGCACCAGCACAGGCACCCAGCCAGCCTATTTGTAGATGAAGGAAGAACCCCATAACTGTCGCTATCTGGGGAAAAACATCACATGTTAATACATGTTATGTATCCGCGGACAGAAATAGAGATTGTAACGCAACACCAATTTCGGAAAAAAATGTGCTTCTATCAAAAACAGAAATGACCAAATGTTCAGATTGTTTTTTTTGATTTCAGGAATCTCAATTTTTTTCCGGATAATTGAAAGGTTCGTCCGAAATTATTGCAAAAATTGTGACTTGCAGCCTCATCATCTTGGGTCAGCGGTCACTTACGTTTGTAGTATCGGGTTTCCGGCAGGACGTGCGCAATGGGCCGAAGGGTTATCGTTTTATGTAATAATAATGTCTTATAGTTAAAGTTATTGTAATATATGTGTTTTCCTCCAGCCAAACGCTGTTATTTTCTACAAAGCAATTGCGGGAGGTTCATTTGCTTTGGCAAATGCTAGAGGCCAGTGGCGAACAACAGTGGTAAGATAACGACATGCCGACATGATGACCTCTCAAAAATTGCCTGTTTAATTGAACCGAAATAGAATGAAATAAAAACAAGGTAGTTGTCAAACAACTTGCTCTTTCAACTCTCAACCCAAGTCTCCCAAATCGGCAGTCAATTCCAAACAACTGGTGGGACTGGCGCTCTCTCCCTTGCCCTGCATCACTGTGGAACCCCAAACTGAAAGCACTCGTAGCCCAAAGTCAAAAGCACCATGAAGCACGTCTATGCAACGAACACAATGAACTTGGCGTTGTACCACAGTAAGTTTTCTTGGGGAAGATGCTCTGTGCAAAGGAAAAATTTATGAAGTGAGACTCCTGCACAGAAAGCAAATGCGCGCAAAGTTAGAACCTGGTTCTAACACGCTCGCTGATATAGTAGTCCTCCTTTCAGGAGGGCAACAAAGATTGATTGAGGGAAAGCTACACCATCTTCAAGCTGACATCGTAAGCAACAGGCTAACTGTCGAGCATTTCATCTCATGTGTGCACCAATGCTGAGATCATTTACCCTTGCCTTTGCAGCTTACTCGCCCTCACTTCCACCCTCAGCATCGTCATCTTCTTTAGGTTTGTTCGCTAGACTCTCTAGCTGGAAATCAAGCTTGTCCGCGACTTTCGCTGCGAAGCTGCCTTGGACCCACTGTCATTTCAAGAAAACAAAATCTATGAATCTATTCAGCATCAAACTCACACCTCCAGACACTTCTGTGCCAAGCAAGCGGCGGTATTCAGCGATGAAGGCCGCAAGGTCAATGCCTTTGGCAGTTCCCTTCAGCCGCTCAACTCCTTTGACAAGTTCTTCCTTGGTATTGAAGGTCGCTTGACGGGCCCTCATCAAAAAGAAAACATGGGGCAAAATAGGGTAGTCGACAAGGAAATTTATGGTGTCGCAAAGACATGAATGTCTCCGTTTACCCCCTTGTGAACGCCTTTCTTCACCTTGTGAAGGCCTCTCTCTGCCAATCCACCTATCAACCGCTCAGCTCCCCCCAACTCTTTTCAAGACACGGCGGTGAGCTCTGCATCACCATCATCAAGCAAATTGAATAATACGTTTGGATCCTTGCAAATTGAACAATTACACATTCATGCAGCTCTTGCAAAGCAGGTTGACAACTGAAGGCCTAGGCCTGTTTACCTTTCTCCACAAATGTTCCGACTCAAACTTGGACGCTTGGAATCCTGAACTGGAAGCTCTTGAGCTGCAAGCCATGTCCTGCTTACAATCTCTGATTCGCCGACGGATGGGCACAAACATTCGGAATGTCTCTTGACTGATTTTACATGTCTCTCCTGACTTCTGGAATATTCATGATATCGCAGAACTCGTTTCTATCCTCAGCTGCGGCGAATGGAGCCAGCAGCCTTCTTACCACAGCTGCTGGAGCATTCAATCAAAACGAACCGAGCATCAATGTACCCATCTCCAGACTCATCAGCGGCTTCAAAAAGTGTTTTCATCTTTTTGGTGTGGAGCCAGCGATCTTGCTCCTGAAACATGAACTGCGGCAAAGAAAATAGACTTTAGATTACTTTAGAATTGGCAGGTGCCGATTCTATCAGTCTTTGTACTTAGTGACTTGTTGTTGTGTTTCGGCTTGTTTGCCTTCTGCCGCATCATGAGCTTGTCGTCTGAAGCTGCAACTTTGAAGGTCTCCTGCCTTGTGCAATGCACACAGCAAACATCATTTGTGGAGACATGACAATCCTCTGCTTGAATCCCTTCTACACTGGCACCAGCAACACTTGCAATACTACAGCTAGAGCAAATGATTGTTGCAGCTGTCACATCAACAATTCAAGCTGCATAAACACGCCATTGATGATGCCCACTGCAGCGAAACCAACGATCAGCTTGTAGCCGACAGAAAATATTGAATAGAATTCCTCGCACCATAGTCAAATTGTGTCAATCTATTCCATGCGAGCACATGGCCGCCAGTTTTGGAATTCTTGACTTGTTCCGAGAGGCAGTCACATTTTCCTGCAATATTCGAGCAGCCACTGGCCAATTCCTGGGAGAATTGTCCACGTGCAGCAAACACAAGCCATTCACGGGTTGGTCACGACAAACTCAATTTAAGCGTGGGTATCTGTGCTCCGGCGCCATGACCATTGGTCGAACATCAGGCATTTTACATCATTTTACATTTCATCTGAATTTGGAACTAAGATTCGCAAAAAGTCATCAACATCGAAGCTTGCTCTGCTAAAACCCACCCATTGCTATGTGAAAATGAGATGTGATGCGACAAGTGAATTGGCGTGGAGTCAAGGCAAGTTGAGTCTAAGACGGTATAAGGATGATTTGCCTACTGATTCTAGATACTATATGATATTATGGTATATTCAGGATTGCGCTCTTTGGATAGGGTGAGGGCTAGAGGAAACGCGGGACCATACGGAGGATCAGTGAGGTGTCGTGAGGTCAGGTAAGTTCAAGGTCAGGGCAGGTCGAGGATCTCGGCTGGTGCCAGTGAATCCAGTGCAGAGTAGGCTTGTCGGCAGGGCCGACCTAACAGAATTCCTTCACAAGCACCGTCAGGTCTCAAGACCCCGAAGATCCAAACGCGTGGCCAACTGACAAACGGCAACGAAGGAGCAACCATTGTTGCAGAACACCCGCCCGCGGAACATACAATCTTTGTGCAAGATACGCGAGGGTGAGCTCAAACATGGTGAGCATCACTCTGGCTGTGGTGCCAAAGTACTCAAACACCTCATGCTTTTCAGAAACCTTGGCTGGCATGCGTTCAGTCAACTCGATAGATACTGTAGTGTTTCAATAAGAACAAACTGTGTGCATCGACATGTCTTGTCTTTGCATCAAGGAGGCAGGCTTCGTTGGATCATTGAAGTAGATTTCCAGAGACTCATTCAGAAAGAAAGCGATCATGACTTGGACAGTCATCAGCAACCTGCGACTTGGACAGTCGATGCAAACGGACAGCTGAAGTTGCTGTGCAAGACTCGAACGACAATCATCCTTGTCAAATCCAGCCAAAGAGCATGAAGGACCAAAAGAGGCACACAACGCTCCCCAACATTGCAGTCGTCATGATGTAAAGCGCATCAAAACCTGCGGCAAGATCAATCCTTCTTAACTTGGCAGTGCTGATTCGGGAAACTAACGTCTGAGTTCAACTATACTGCCAGACTTTCTTGGACAAGTGACCTAATACCAAAGCTGGGCTCAAAATATGTCAGAGGCGTTGCACATGAAGCCAAGTCATACGAACAACTATCTATTGAGAGCTGCGTATAGAATATAGTATAAGTTCATCGTCACAATTGCAAACTTCGCAGCAGGCCGTCCTGTTTAAGTCAAGATTTTGGCACTTGGTATCAATATGAAACTCCCCGACAAACTGGTTGGAAGACATTGCAATTAGGTTGGAGGCCATCGCTAGTAGGGTGGAGGCCATCGCGCGTGACTCAACAAACCACGTATGCCCGCCAAGGAGTGACCTTGGATTGTTTTGACCAATCGTATCAAGCGTAAAAGCCGGCACATTCGCATCATACCTTGGATGTACAAGAAAACAGAAAGCTTTGGCAAGAGTGCTATCAACATGTCAGCAATAAAGCCTTGTGGCCCACATGCAACAAGTCCATTCTATAAGCAAAAACACATACTGACTAGTCAGCACTCCAATTCACGCTAGGATGCGCAAAATTCCAGGCTCTAATTGTATCACATCTCTCAAAGAAACCTCTGCCAGCCACATCGTGACCAACAAGCCGTCAAAAATGTTCCACCAGTCCTGCAGCTACGCACGCTACAACGGTGAAATGCACAGCTGCATTGAACTAAAATTGTTATTGATCAAAGGAAGTTTAGTGTGCAAAACTTCCGTGTTACGGACATTCAACAGCTGTTCAACCACCATTCATCATACACCACTCATCATACACCACTCATCATACACCACTCATC